GCTGGTTCTGCCACTGTGGCTGGAAGGCGGCAGGAAGCTGGAGCCAGGAATCTACGTCCTGCGGGCTGAGTCATGGGGACTTCAGAAAGGGACTGACACACTGTAGGCACTCTGTAGACTTTCTTTCTTTTGTGCCCATTCCCCCCCAATGCTGGCCTCGCCTGTGTTTTCCCTATTATTGCTCCCTCTCTGTCTCTGTTTGCTACAGAGCAGAGGCCACCAGATCAGCGGAGTCACAGACACTAGACTTCCCGTCTAGCAAAATGTGGGTCCAGGTTCCTTGGTTGCTCCTTCTGATGGGGAGCTCAGCACCTCCTAGGACATCCATTCCAGCAAAAAGTCTTTTCTCAGATGGGTCAGGGTTGGAGCTAGCTCACCTCCTGAAGCCCCTACTTTGCCCCTGGACCCCCAAGCCCTTTTCTGGACTCCAGACCTCTAGAATGGTACTGGAGAGAGTGGTCTGGGCCCCCCCTGTGTCAGCCCTTCTGGGCTGGGCATCCTAACTCCTTCAGCCAATTCCTGAGTCACCAAACCCTCCCATGTCACCCCCTCTGTGTCCACACCATGCTGTGTGATGCCTGGTTCCTGGGAAGCTCCTGGTCTAGGTGGGGATACAAAGAGGACACAGATATCCCAGCCACTTATGGATAAGACTGATAGAGAGGGAAGGAGGGTACTGGGAAAGGCCAGGGGGGCTCTGCCTGGAGGGCAGAGAGGGCTTCCTGGAGCTGGAACCTACCTTCCTTCCTTCCTTCCTTTTTCTTTCTTTCTCTTTCTTTCTTTCTTTCTTTCTTTCTTTCTTTCTTTCTTTCTTCTTTCTCTTTCTTTCTTTCTTTCTTTCTTTCTTTCTTTCTTTCTTTCTTTCTTTCTTTCTTTCTTTTTCTTCCTTCCTTCCTTCCTTCCTTTTTTTTTTTAAGATTTTATTTATTTATTTCAGAGAGAGAGCAAGTGTGAGGGGTTGGTGGTGGTGGCAGAAGGAGAAACAGACTCCCAGCTGATCAGGGATCCGGCGTGGCTGGATCCCAAGACCCCGGGATCATAACCTGAACCAGAGGTAGACGCTTAACTAACTGAACCACCCAGGTACCCCTGGAGCTGGAACCTTGAGGAATAAATGGGAGTTCCCCAGGTACAGGAATGGGGGGGTTGGAAGGCACGTCAGAAAGAAGGACCAGCATGGGCAAAGGGGTGGCATGTGTGGGAAATAACAGAGTATTCCCTATAACTAGAAGAAAATACATTTTTGAAGAGAACGCATTTGCTGTGAGTTCCTGCTTGGGGTGGGGGAAAGCAAAAAGGTCCTTTTAACTAGCTGGGTGTCCCAGCCAAGGGAAGAACGTGGGCAAAGGCCATGAGGGTGCAAGGCCTGCTGGGTGAGGAGGGAGTTTGACTCAGTGTGATGGTGGGGAGGGCTGGAGAGGGCACGGACAGGCTAAGGGCTCTGAAAGCAAAGCCAGGGGTGGGGTGGGGGCTTGGATTTCCTCCTGGGGTGCTGGGCACGGGGAGGGCCTGAAGCTGCACCTGCCCTAGGGCCTGTTGACTCAGCACACTCACTGTGAATCAGGCTGCACCCCTTCTTGTGCAACTTTTGTCTTTTTCGCTGCCCAATCCCCAGCCCCACCCCACCCCTCACACTCCATGTGGCCTGGAGTCACTCAGACCTGGGTTCTAGGAAGACCTCAGTTCTTCCTCTAGAAAGCCTCCAGCAAGTCACCAGAAGATGGGCAGCTTCTCCCTCCCCGTGGGAGCTGCATCCAGACGGGGGAGGGGCAGAACATCCTCAGTTCCTGTCCCCAGGGGCTGGCCTATTTATACCCGCCCGACCAGGCTCTGGCCAATCATTCAACTTGCACCCTTGGCTCTTCATGCTTCTTCTTTCTCGCTAACAGTACTTCTCTGCCTCGTTCCCCTCTTCCTCTTCCAGCATTTAAAAATCACCTAACGTATTAATGGATGGACAAGCAAAATATGGTATAACCATTCAATGGAATATTAGTCAGCTATGAGAAAGAATGATGCTACATGGGGGAACCTTAAAAGCATTATGCTGAGTGAAAAAAAGCCAGACACAAAAGGCCCTACACTGCCTGATTCCATGTACACAAAATGTTTAGAACAGGCAAATCCGGGCTGGCTCAGTCAATTAAGCGGCTGCCTTCGGCTCAGGTCATGATCCTGGAGACCTGGGATCGAGCCCCACGTCAGGCTCCCTACTCAGTAGAGAGCTTGCTTCTCCCTCTGCTCCTCACCTCACTCACTCTCTCGCTCGCGCTCTCGCACTCTCTCAAATAAATAAATAAAATCTTAAAAAAAAAAAAAAAAAAAAGAACAGGCAAATCCTTAGAGGCAGAAAGCGGATTGGTGGCTGACAGGGGCTGGGGGAGGGGGCTGGGGAGTGACTGCCCTTGGGGATGCAGCTTCCTTTAGGGGTGATGGAAGTGTCTTGGAAGTAGATAGAGGTGATGCTTGCACTAAATGTCTCTGAGCTGTACATTTTAAAATGGTAAGTGGTTAATTTTATGGTATGTGAATTTTATCTCAGTTTAAAAAAAAACCTCAGAGGAAATCATTAGTCCATGCCGAAACCAGCGGGTGAAAGTGTGATGGGCACCAGGATATTCACATCGTCTAAGTATCTCCCCACATGATATTGATATTGATTTATTATGGGAGGAGGGATGGGAAGAGAATAGTACCTCAACTGTAGGAAAACCTGGCCAACTTCACTCAAGTGATCAAATTCTAACATCACCAATGTTGGGAACTGACATCAGGTACCTCCAGATACAAGGCACCGGAGAGGACCACCATCACCTCTGTGGTTCCAGACAAAGACACACACACTGAACCGGGTCAGGAGGAACCAGCAGATTGGCCTGCTGGGGGACATTCTGTGAAATAGGTGATCTCCACTCTCCAAAAATGTTAATATCACAAAAGATGAGGAAAAGCTGAGCAACTGATTCAGATTACAGGACACCAAGAGACATGACCATTTCATGAAACATATGATCAGGGATTAGATCCTGGGCCAGTGAAGAAACATGTTATAGAAGATGCTATTGGGGCAACAGAAGACTTGGAACATGGACTAAGGGGGACAGCTGTGGTCTGTTTGGGTAAGAGTGTGCTTTTGCTCAGGAAACACACAGTGGTGTATTAGGGGGTAAAGGAACATCACATCCACAGTTTGCTCTCAAAAATAAAAAGGCACATTGGGGCACCTGGGTGGCTCAGTCAGTTAAGTGTCTGACTCTTGGTTTCTGCTCTCAGGTCATGATCTCTGGGCCGTGATGTGCTCAGCGGGGAGTCTGCTTGGGATTCTCTCCCTCTCCTGCTGCCCCTCTCCCTGCTTGCAGAGGCTCTTTCACTCTCAAAATAAATAAAAACTTAAAAAAATAAAAAAGCACATGGATAGATAGATATGTTTGTGTGTCCATATATATATATGATTATAAAGCGAATGTGACAAAGTGTGGAAAGAGTTGGTGAATCTGGACAAAGGGTATACGGAAATTACGTTATTCTACATTTGAAATTATTTTAAAATAAAAAGGTTAAAAGTTGCCTGAAGATCTCCAGGTGCCCTTGTGACTATCTCCCATTATGGCTTCCCCATGCTCAGTCCCAGTGTTCAGCTGCACATAGGTGACCCCCAGGCTCCACGGATTCAACACCTCACCCCCAAACCATTTCTCCCCCCTGTAGCCTCACCACCAAGCAAATACCAGGGAGGCAGCTTGGCTTCCTCTTCCTCCTCATTCCAGCCAGTGTGACCCCTGGCCTGTCCACTCCTTCTCCTTTCTTGGCTCCCTCCTGTGGGTGCAGGCCTTGTCTCTGCTGGGATGTTTCACCTCTAATTCATCCTTCCTGGCTGAGCTCCACTGGACCCTCCTCTGGGAAGCCCTCTCTGGGGGAGGAAGGTATACCCTCAGCCCCTGGAACAAAGTCAGACATAGAGCTGGAGCTTCATACCTACTTGTTGAATAAATGAAAGAACAAATAAGTAACTACCCTCAGGCAAAGCCCTCACCAACCCCTCTGTATACCCTTCCCAGACTCTGTCCCTCCCTCTGGCCCAGCTCTGAACCCACAGTGCTGGGGGTGGGGCCGGGGGTCTGTGTCCAGCTTTTTCTTCCCCAGACTGAGGGCTCCTCAGGCCTGGGCTTGGGGCCTTTTGGGGGTCCCCATTATCATCACAGGGACAGAGTGGGCTGCTCCGCGGCTTTGCAGCATGTCTGATTTTGGAAAAGGCAGTTGATCAAATTGAGCAAGGCTGAGCTGCAAAGCTGTGTAGGCTATGGGTGGGGCTGGGGGCTGGGATGGACCTTTGGAGTTCACACAGGGTAGTAAGGAGCTTTCTAGGAGAGCTGAGAGTAAGAAGGTGTGTGTGTGTTTGCCCAAATGCCTGAGTCTCCTTCCTAATGTGTGTCTGAGGTCTGAGACTGCAAATGCTGTGCCGGGCTCAAGGCCTCACCGGGCCTGAGCTTTGGGTTTGTGTTTTATATTTGAAGTCCCCATGAAGCTCTCTGCATAAGTCTGCATCTGTGCATGGTAGCTGTGTGTGCATGAGCTCCACAGGACGTGCTTGGCCTCAGTTTCAGGGTATCTGACGTCTGTATTTGTGCCCTGGCTCTGTGTGTGTCCCCTGCTCTGAGTGTGTGCTGGGAGCTGGGGTGTTCACGAAGCCGGTGTGTCTGTCACTGAGGGTTCAGCCCACGCTTCACCGCATGGCCGGCCTCAATTTCCTAGGGTCTGCGGGTCCCAGGCTGTGTGGGTGGAGGGTGGGCAGAGACCCCGGGAGGCCGGGAGGTGGGGTGTGGGGGGGTGCGGGGGAGCGCAGGGCCGGCCCCGGGGCGGGGCGAGCCGCCCAGGGCTGGGGGCGGGGCGGCCCGGCAGCCTCACTTTGGCGAAGTTGGCGGCGCGGAGGCTGGCCCGGGACGCGCCCGGAGCCCAGGGAAGGAGGGAGGAGGGAGGAGGGAGGGTCGCGGCCGGCCGCCATGGGGCCGGGGACCCGGGGCCGCCGCTGCCGCCGCCCGATGTCGCCGCCGCCACCACTGCCGCCCGTGCGGGCGCTGCCCCTGTTGCTACTGCTAGCGGGGCCCGGGGCTGCAGGTGAGGGGCTGGGACCTAGCGCGCGGGACTGGGGGTGGGTGGGTTGGGGGAGGGTAAGAGCGGAGTTTAAGGACACCCGAGTCTGGGGCTGGGGGGCTGGCCTAGGAGCCAAGGACTAGAGCTGGGGCAGGGAGCAGGAGCCCGGGGGCTACGTGCCAGTCCCGGGGGGTCAGGGGCTCAATTGGGGGAGGGGGCAGGGCCCCAGAGGTCCGCAGAATAGGGGCTCAGGAGCGATCAGAGTTGGGGATGAAGGGACCCAGGAATGAGGGAGTGGGAGCTTGAGGTGCGGGGATCAGGGACGCAAGATCCGGGGGACCAAGAGTCTGGGGCTCGCTCCCAATGCACGTCGGGCTGGAGTCCTGGGAAGGTCACGATTGGAGCCCAATACCCCCAGGCTGGGAACCCCTCGCACAAAAGCCCCCCTACACACCCAGGGCTGGCCTGGCCGGGCGGGGGACGGGGAGGGGGCGCGAAGTTCTCGGAGCTCCGAACTCGGGGAAAAACTTCTCAGGCCGGAGCGCCGCAAGACCCGGAGCCGGAGTAGGAGCTGGAGCCACAGCGGCGCCCGCGCCCCTTTCCCCGCCCGCGGCCCCGCTCCCTCCCTTGGCCGCCGGGACCGGGCGGCCACGGGACCCCGCCCCCGCGAGGGGAGGGAAAGGAAGGGCGGGGGGCGCGAGCCCACGTGCTCCTTTCCAGCTCCAGCGCCCCGTCTCCGCAGCCCGAGCCCCTCCCCAGCCGGCCGGGGCCCCCCGCCCCTCCCCCTGCCCGTTCTCCCTTCCCCCGCTCGGGACAATGGCCGCGCCGTCTAGACACCCCCTCCCCCCCGGGCCGGCCTCGCGCTTTCTTTGCCAGACAAAGCGGGACGGGCGGCGGGGCCTGGGCTGGGGCTGCGGGGGCGCACACCCCCAAGGGAGGCCTGGCCGGCGGAAGAGGGGCGCGGGCCGAGCGGCCCTGGCCCGGGGTCCCGGGGAGCCGCTGTGGGGCTCGGTGCTGGGAAGGAAGGGCCTGCACCGCCCAGCCCGGTGCCCGACCGACCGGGCAGGATCGGGCAGGAGCTGCCGCCCCCGCGGGGCCGGCGAACACACACATGGCCTCTCACACTCTCAGGCACACACAGCCCTGGGTCACACATGCAGATGGGGACGTGCACACACACACGCACACGCACTACACCCGCAGAATGGATACGCAGCTCACACACTAACATACTTGTACATACAATTACACATGTTCATACATTTCAGGGATCACCAGCCCAAGGCCTTGTACACGCTGCCTGCACACATTCAGACACACACAGACACAGATCCAAGGCATGCCTGCACCCAGTTTATACACGCAGACAGGCACATCCAACCCATACACAGACACACCTGAGAATACACTGGTCCGGCAGAGACACACAGCTGTATACCAGATAAACGGTTCACATGCACGGGCACCCACCACAGATCCAGCATGCACAGAGACACCCGTGTACTTCAAGCACACACACATGTCACTCACATGGCCCACAGTTTGGCGAGGCCCACAGTCTGCATCACATGGCCCCGAGTGTGAGTTCACAAACCCCCACAGGCCCCTGTCTGGGTGGTAGTGTCCTGTCTCTGCCTGTCCCCTGAGGAAGGGGACACATGCCATGTTGTCCAGCTCAACTTCTGTCTCTCCCTCTCTGTCTCTGTACATCTCAGCCTCTCTGTGTCAGCCTGCTTCTGGTTTCCTTCTTTGTGTCTCCGTTTTTCTTCTCTATCTCCCTCCATCTCTCTTTCCATCTCTATCTGTGACACACACACACACACACACACACACACACACACACACACACAGAGGCCCCACACCTGCCGGCACACACAGTTCTCCACTAGCTCACACCCAGCCGCACCCCAGACCAGTCTGACAGGACAGTTAGACTGCCACACCCCAGAGGGACACAGCCCTCAGGGATGGGGACGCTGGACAGGGCAGCACATGCCTAGTGCAGGATGCTCCTCCCTTCAACCCACACCCTGTCCCTGCACCACCCAGTGCTGGCTGTGCATGGGGTACAGGCCTTGGCCCCTCTCACCAGAGCACCATGCAGCTCTGCCCAGCTGGAGTAGATGCCCGACATCAGGGCAAGAAAGACCCATGGCCCCAGGCCTCCTTGCCCCTGCCCTCTCCATTACCCTGGGATTTGGGCACACAGCCCCAGACCTCCCTTTAACGCTCAGCACCCTCACTTCCTGCCTCTGCACCCCCCATTCTGGCAGCTTCCCGAGTCCCCACATCTGGCACAAGTCAGCACCTCCTCCTGCCCGCCCTTGCCTTGTGGTTCCCAGGGCTTGAGCTGGCAGGGACAGCTGCAGCCCCAACAGCTGGGGCCAGGGCGGGGGGCCGTGGGAACTGTGGATGCGGGGGCTCCATGCACCCACAGAGACACCCCCAGCCCATTGCAGCTGTTGCCTGGGGGAGGGAAGGATGGGCTCTGTCACTCTGAGCTAGGGTTCCTGGGTGCCTGGTTGACCCCCCGCTTTCCTTTGTCCCTACACAGCACCCCCTTGCCTGGACGGGAGCCCGTGTATGAATGGAGGTCGCTGCACCCAGCTGCCCTCCCGGGAGGCTGCCTGCCTGTGAGTGCCTGGCTCTGAGCCATCAGTGGGTCCTGTGTGGGGAAGTTGTCTGTCTTCTCCCTTGCCTCTGTGTCCACCATGGATGCCTCTACCCCTTCCTACATGTGTATGGCTTGGGTAACCTCTTGTTTCCCCACTGGAATCGAGCAGGGTTAAGAACTGAGGAAGGTTAAGAGCAGGGGCTCTGCAATTTGTCTGGCCTGGGTTCAGATCCCACATTGTGTTGCTGACTGCCTGGGACCTAAACCCTTTAAGCTTTTGGTGTCCTGGTCTGGAAAACAGGCACACTAACCCCCACTTCACAGAGTTCTTGGCTGCCTGAGGTCACGTGTAAAGCCTCTGAGGGAGGCAGTTATTATTCAATCAACAGATCTTCAGGGACCAATGGCTTGGCAGTAATGGGTACACCAATTGCATCCTCCCATGTCTCAACATTTAGTGGTGGGGGTACAGGGGACCTGTAATACAGCCCTGCTTGTCACTGTCTTGCTTTCTGACCTTGGGTTAGTCACTTTTCTCTGGATCTCATTGCCTCTGTGAAATAGGGGTGCTTCTCCCTGGCTTGTGACCCATGAGGGGGTTCAAGAATTCAGTTGTTGGATAATACAGGGAAAGGCAGAGGGTTGGAGTTGCTGAGCAGAGGTTGGGAAAGAACTGAGCAGAGGGAGACAAAACTCAATTTGAATTCTGGGCTCTGGGATACCTTGAGCAGGTGCTTTGAGCTCTCTGAACCTCAGTTTTTGCAACTGGAAAATGGGGCAATCATAGTTCCTCCTTTATGGGGTTGATTGTAAAGATTAAGAGACACTTCATATGATGAACTCAGCATAGTGCTCAGCGTACAGTAAGTGCTCCATAAATAGGGATGATGATGATGATGATGATGATGATTAATAATGGTAGGGGCACAGGAAATATGTGCCATAAAGGGGAACGTCTCAAGGTTTTGGGGAAATGCTTGGTTCCTTTTATAATATCGTCATTAGTAATAGTAGCCATTGATTGATTCATTAATGTATTCGTTTATTCAACTACATGTGTGCCATGCTGGGCGGGCCTGGGGTGAATTTTGATCCCGGAGAGCCCCTTTGAAGTTACACACGCACTTTGACTGGAGCCCCACTTGGGCTCACCAGGTGGGGGCTTAGCCTGGCCGAGCGGGTTCCTCGGGTTGGGAGTCTGCGATGGTGCGGGGTGGGGGAAAGTGTGACCTTATCTGGAGCCACTCACCTGGGAGGCGGAGCCGCGGGGCCGGGCGCCTGCGCAGTGGAGCTCTGCACCTGGAATACAGCCGACAGGTGAATGCTGCCACGGCTGCCCCGCCCCTCAACAGGTGAATCACCAGCGCGCGCGGCTGCCCGGAGCCCGGATTCCCCGGAGTGGAGCGGGCTGTTCCCAGAGCTGGGCCGTGGGAACCACTCCCCACGGGCCCCCCAGTCGCCTTCAAGGTTCTAAATACTCGTGTCTTTTCAGGAACGCCCCAGTATGTTACCCCTCCTCGGATCCCCCTTAGCCTCTTCCTCAGAGTAGCCTCCCAAGCCGTCGTCTGTCTCCCAGTCCTCGCCGCAGCCCCTCCCCTCCCGCTGACCCCCAACCAAGTGTGCTCTCCCCCTTGTCGGTTTCCCCCGAAGCCCCGGCTGTGAGGCGGGGCGCGGGCGGAGGCTGGAACCGGCCCGACCGGTCGGCAGGGGAGCGGGGCGCAGAGCGTGGGAACCCGCCTGGGGCGTCGGGAGGGGGCCGCGCGGCCGCGCCCTGCCTGGCAGTGGGACCCGCAGTCCCCGGCGCCCGGCGCAGCGCGCCCCCTCTCGGCACACAGTCGTGACGGACGTCCACGCCCTGCTGGTCTTTGGGGAGGAGGCTGGGAGCCTGGCCTTCCTTTCTTAACACCGTTGGCACCCCTGCCCTGCCGTGTTATGGCCTGTTTCGCTGGGGGCCGGGGTGGGGGGATTTTGTGGGTGACGCTAGGGACTGAGTCAGCTGCCTGAGGTTAGCCCCAAGCGGCTGGGGCGAGCCAGAGGGAGGGACCGCGCGAGGGGTGGGCAGCGTCGGGGGCGGGGCCTTGGAACCTCTTGCCAGTCCAAACCCTTCCCTCCCACCCCGCCAGTGTCCCTCTGGAGGTTTCCAGTCCCAAGGCCAACCGCCTTATTTCCCTCCTACTCAAGGTTGCCTTGGTGGGTTTGGGGAAGGGTCTGCAGGCCGAAGGACTCTCTCCCAATAAGAGGGCGCCGGCACTGGTGTCCACCTCCTCCTCCCGGTGGCAGGAAGGGTTGTATGTGCCTCCAGGAAAGGAGGGGAGGATTTGTGAGAGTTACACTGTCCACATGAGAGCTACCCATCTGTGAACTGCGCTGTGGATTTGGGTCTGAATGTTCGCCAGGCCAGTATGTCGAATTGGCTGTCCCGCTGTGTTATCTCTGTATGTTTCTGAGTCTGTCTGTGTGTGTGTGCCTGAGTGGTTGTCTTCTGGAGTCTGAGACTTTGCATTTGCCATAACAAACCACCAAGAACTGGGTGGTTTACAACAACAGAAATTTATTCTCACAGTTCTGGGGGCCAGAAGTCTGAAATCCAGGTGTTAGCAGCCACGCCGTCTCCAGTGGCCTTCCAGGAGCATCCTTCCTGGCCTCTTCCACCTCCCGGCAGCTCCACGCACTCCTTTGCCTTGTGGGTGCAGCACTCCAGGGTCTGCTTCTGTCTTCCACATGGCCTTCTCCTCTTTCTCCCAAATCTCCCTCTGCCAATGGATTTAGGGCCCCATTTGGGAAATTCAGGATGATCTCATCTTGCTATCTGTCACTTAGTTACATCCGCAAAGACTCTTTTTCCAAATAAGGTCAGAATCACAGGTTCTGGGACATGGGCATTTCTTTTCTGGGGCCATCACTCAAAACCCACTGAACTCTTCATGGCCCTTCCCGCCCCATGCTGACATGTTATATAATTCATTATTAGTGTATCTTCTCTTTGCCCAACTTGGCTGTGAGTATAAAGAGGGTGGGGATGACTTTTAATGTATTTGCGACTGTATTCCTATGGCTAAAAACATAGTAGGTACTCAGTGAATATTGGTTGCACGAATGAACGGGTGTGCCTGCTTGTTGCGCTGTTTGCTTGTGTGTTTCTTGCCTGTCACATGTGTGTCTGGGATGCACCTGCCCGGTACCACCCTAGTACTGCCCTGTACTAAGCTATCTCTGCCCACAGGTGCCCACCAGGATGGGTGGGCGAGCGGTGCCAGCTGGAAGACCCCTGCCACTCGGGCCCCTGTGCTGGCCGCGGCGTCTGTCAGAGCTCTGTGGTGGCAGGCACCGCCCGGTTCTCCTGCCGCTGTCCCCGTGGCTTCCGAGGTAAGGGCCAATCTGGAGGGGAGCCCAAGACAGGCAAGGGTGTGAACGGCCCAAGCTCACCCTCTCCTGGTGCCTCTAGGTCCCGACTGCTCCCTGCCGGACCCCTGCCTCAGCAGCCCCTGTACCCATGGTGCCCGCTGCTCGGTGGGGCCTGATGGCCGCTACATCTGCTCCTGCCCGCCTGGCTACCAGGGCCGCAGCTGCCGAAGCGATGTGGATGAGTGCCGGGTGGGAGGGCCCTGCCGCCATGGTGGCACCTGCCTCAACACGCCTGGTTCCTTCCGCTGCCAGTGCCCAGCTGGCTACACGGGGCCACTGTGTGAGAACGCCGTGGTGCCCTGCGCCCCCTCGCCGTGCCGTAACGGGGGCACATGTAGGCAGAGTGGTGATCTCACCTATGACTGCGCCTGCCTTCCTGGTGAGGGAGCTGTGCCCTGGGGAGGCGGCAGGAGCGCAGGGACAGCTGGCCAGCCTGGCAGTGACCATCTTTGCATCCCCCTCCCATGCTAGGGTTTGAGGGCCAGAACTGTGAAGTGAACGTGGACGACTGTCCAGGGCACCGATGTCTAAATGGGGGGACATGTGTGGATGGCGTCAACACCTACAACTGCCAGTGCCCTCCTGAATGGACAGGTGAGCAGCAGGGCTGGCGACAGCCAGGTGGCAGGCCCTGGGTGGGCAAGCAGCGGGTGTGGACTGGTGCTTCTGTGTGCCACAGGCCAATTCTGCACGGAGGACGTGGACGAATGTCAGCTGCAGCCCAACGCTTGCCACAATGGGGGCACCTGCTTCAACACTCTGGGTGGCCACAGCTGTGTGTGTGTCAATGGCTGGACAGGCGAGAGCTGCAGTCAGAATATCGATGACTGCGCCACGGCTGTGTGCTTCCATGGGGCCACCTGCCATGATCGTGTGGCCTCGTTCTACTGTGCCTGTCCCATGGGCAAGACTGGTGAGTGGCTGTTTTCCTTATAGGCAGCAGGGTGCCATCGATGGTTCTGCAGTGGGGGCAGGGATGGAGTCTGACTCCAGTGTTAGAATGATTATGCTGGAGGGCGCCTGGGTGGCTCAGATGGTTAAGCGTCTGCCTTCGGCTCAGGTCATGATCCCAGGATCCTGGGATCGAGTCCCGCGTCGGGCTCCCTGCTCCTTGGGAGCCTGCTTCTCCCTCTGTCTCTCTCTCTCTGTCTTTCATGAATAAATAAATAAAATCTTTAAAAATAAAAAAAAATAGGGGCGCCTGGGTGGCTCAGTTGGTTAAGCGACTGCCTTCGGCTCAGGTCATGATCCTGGAGTCCCGGGATCGAGTCCCGCGTTGGGCTCCCTGCTTGGCGGGGAGTCTGCTTCTCCCTCTGACCCTCTTCACTCTTGTGCTCTCTGTCTCTCATTCTCTCTCTCTCAAATAAATAAATAAAATCTTTAAAAAAAAATAAATAAAAAATAAAAAAAAGAATGATTATGCTGGAGGCCAGATTTGGGGTGCAGGGTGAGCCTGGGAGGGGCCTAAGCAGAGGCTGGCCCACAGTCCAGGGCAGTAGCCATGGGAACAGAGAGCTATCCTGTGACTGAGAAGGAGACGGGACCTTTGCAAGTGGCAAAGGTCAGGGAAAGTGTTTGGGAGGGGGACTTGGCTGTGGAGGGCAGGGCATTCAGGCAGAGGATACTGCAGAAGCAAAAGCTTGAGGGTGTATAATCAGAGAAGGTGTCTACAGATTTTAAAACAATATGTGGATGTTCCCAACTCATTTACAAATGGTTCAGAAAAATAAAGAAATAGGTAAAGCTTAACAAGAGTTGAATCTAGGTGGTGGGCGTATGAATCAACTTTGTAGTACATTTGAAAATTTTCATCATAAATTGTTTGGGAAGATAGCTACTAAAGACACTGCAGGTTAATAAAAACAAAACACAAAACGATATGTGGGGGATGTGGGATGTTTGGGCAGAGCTGGAGGGTCCGCCCTTGGACTCTGCCTACCCCTTTTCAGGGCTTCTGTGTCATCTGGATGACGCCTGCGTCAGCAACCCCTGTCACGAGGATGCTATCTGCGACACCAACCCCGTGAATGGCCGGGCCATCTGCACCTGTCCACCAGGCTTCACCGGCGGGGCATGTGACCAGGATGTAGACGAGTGCTCCATTGGTGAGGGGGGTGCGGTCTGAGAGTTGGGAGGGAGGGGAGAGGCAGGTCCTTAGCCACCCACACTCACACTGGCGATGCCTACTTCTGCAGGTGCCAACCCATGTGAGCACCTGGGCCGATGTGTGAACACACAGGGCTCGTTCCTATGCCAGTGCGGCCGTGGCTACACTGGCCCGCGCTGCGAGACCGACGTCAACGAGTGCCTATCCGGGCCTTGCCGCAACCAGGCCACGTGCCTCGACCGCATAGGCCAGTTCACCTGCATCTGCATGGCAGGTGCGTGGTGGGTGTGGCCGGAGCGGTGGGTGAGGCTGGGGCGGAGCCTGAGGCTGGGGACGAGGCAAGGGAAGCCTGCAGGCCACACACCCCCTCCTCCCTTCTTGGTGAAACTGTGTCTGGAACGGGACCCTGAGACGAGGTGGAGGCTGGGCCAGAGCAGAATCTTTGTGCGAGGCTGGGGCCATGGTCAAATGGAGTCTGTAGAACCTCAGATGGGCTGGGAGTGGAGTCTGTGCCTTAGGACCCACTGTGGGGCGGGAGATGATATGAGGGCGGAACCAGGAGCTGGAGTGGGTCAAGGTGGAGCCTGCAGACCGTCTTTCCCTAACGCTGGGGTCGGATTGGGCCCAAGGCTATAGTGGGCCCTGGGGCTGGTAGCTGAGGACCTGGTATAGTGTGAGGACTACAGAGGGAAAAGGGTGGTCTGAAGGCAAGGCCCATATGGAATCACATAAGCCTTGGACCAGTTGGATCCACAGTGGGGTGAGGATGAGGCCACTCAGGAGGCCAAAAGCTGAATCTGGGATTGGGCTGGGGGGTGGGGGGCAAGGCCAAGCAAGGCTCAGGGGAGCTGTCTATGGGTGGGAAAGGGAGTACCTTCCCATTTGCTCTCCCTTTATAGAAGAGGCTAAGCCCCACTGCTCTAATCCTCCTCCCTCACTCCCTAGGCTTTACAGGCACCTATTGTGAGGTGGACATGGATGAGTGTCAAAGCAGTCCGTGTGTCAATGGTGGGGTCTGCAAGGACAGAGTCAACGGCTTCAGCTGCACCTGCCCCTCGGGTGAGAACGCTGGGCCAGGGAGCCTGAAAAAGACAGGTCCCTGCAGAGGCAAAGGCTCTAGGGGAGCCTATAAGACCATGCTAGTGGATAACTGTCATAACAGAAACCACATACTATGAAAAACATTGAAATTAATTTAAAACTAAGTTGGGGTGCCTGGGCGGCTCAGTTGGTTAAGCGTCTGATTCTTGATCTCAGCTCAGCTCTTGATCTCAGGGTTGTGATTTCAAGCCCTGCGTTGAGCTCCACGCTGGGCATGGAGCCTCCTTAAAACACAAACAGACAAAAAAAACACACATACACAAAACTAAGTAAATGATCATCCCACTCATCCCACTCAAACAAGGCAGGGCTGGCAGGGGGTGACTTCTCTGACCCTGTCTGGGCCTCTGCCCATCCCACTCCCCACCCTAAGGCTTCAGTGGGGCCATGTGTCAGCTGGATGTGGATGAGTGTGCAAGCACACCCTGCCGGAATGGAGCCAAGTGCGTGGACCAGCCCGACGGCTACGAATGCCGCTGCGCAGAGGGTGAGAGAGGGCCAATGACAGGCCAGAAAGAGTCTGGAGGCGGGGCAAGGGAGGGGGAAGGCAAATAACAGCCCTGGGGAAAATTGGGGGGCGGGGCTTCAGCAAGGCACGCGTAGAGCCAATGACAGAGCCAGGGGACCGAGCCAATGATGGATGTAAGCGGTGGTAAGACTAGGGGTGGGGCCAGTGGGTCTGGCAGAGAGGGGATGCATCTTGGTAGAGGGGGCGTGTCCAAATCCCTCTATCTCCAGGCACTTCCCATGTGTCCCCATTTCCAGTCCAGAGTGGAGAGTGAGGCGGAACAGGGCTGATAATGTAAGGATTGGAGGCGGGGTTACGGTTGGGAATGGGATTTATCTGTGGAAGTGTCTTGGCCAGGGGCGAGTCCTGGAGCTTGTGGCTGGATGGAGTTAGAGGGCGGGGCCTGAATTGACCCCACCTCCTGCTGGCTAGATGGGCGGGGCCTGAGGTAGAGCTGGGCCAGGACTGGGCTGAGGCCACGGCTGTGGGCAGGACCTTGGCACGTGGGTGGAGCCTGACCCTCCGGTCCTCCAGGCTTCGAGGGCACGCTGTGTGAGCGCAACGTGGACGACTGCTCCCCGGACCCGTGCCACCATGGGCGCTGTGTGGACGGCATTGCCAGCTTCTCGTGCGCGTGCGCCCCGGGATACACAGGCACGCGCTGTGAGAGCCAGGTGGACGAGTGCCGCAGCCAGCCCTGCCGCCATGGAGGCAAATGTCTAGATTTGGTGGACAAATATCTCTGCCGTTGCCCTCCCGGCACCACAGGTGGGGCTGGAGGCTGGGCTGGGGCAGAAACAGTACATCTGGAAGGGCACAGAGGGCTTGGGAATGGTGCCCCTGTGGGCCTCACTGGTGGCTACCCCTGCGGTGTTCCCCCTCCCCAGGAGTGAACTGCGAGGTGAACGTTGATGACTGTGCCAGCAACCCCTGCACCTTTGGAGTCTGCCGGGATGGCATCAACCGCTATGACTGTGTCTGCCAGCCTGGCTTCACAGGTGCGCAAGTGGCTGCCATGGGGAGAGGGTCTTTATTGGGTGAGAGGGAGAGGGTGAGGGTGAAATCACCCTATTTTTGGCTGAGTTTGTCCCTCTCTTTGCATTCGCTTGTCCAGTGAGATTGTCCACACTTAGCCCTGCGGTTGTGCTCTCTCCCGTTGGCCTGAGGTTGTCCCCATATCAGCTCAAGGTTATCTTGGAACACACATGAGGTTATCTTGGAACACCCCCATCCCTGAGTCCAGTCTCAGGGATGGGGGTGTTTCTGCAGGGGGCCAAAGTAATCCTTGGTGAAAATGAAAGTGACTTCATGTAAGTTTGGGGACGAGTATGATCTGGGGCAAGGCAGCTCTGGATTGAGGAGGTGGCTGTCTTAATTTGTACAAGAGCTGACGTGTTATGAAGATGAGGTTGTTCTTGCTCAAGGGTGAGGTCGTGCTAAATTCGGCAAGGTTGCCTTTCCCCCTTGGCACCATCGCCCTTGTCCTGGGATGAAGTTGTCTTCGTGCTCTCCAGGGCCCCTTTGCAACGTGGAGATCAACGAGTGTGCGTCCAGTCCGTGCGGTGATGGAGGCTCCTGTATGGATGGGGAAAATGGCTTCCGCTGCCTCTGCCCTCCCGGCTCCCTGCCCCCACTCTGCCTCCCCCCGAGCCATCCCTGTGCCCAAGAACCTTGCAGTCATGGTGTCTGCCATGATGCGCCCGGAGGGTGAGGCTTCTCCCCAGCCCCTGAACCCCTGCTGCCTCCCTGCCCATGGGCATTCCCTGACTGCCTTCCCCTCCAGGTTCCACTGTGTGTGTGAGCCTGGCTGGAGTGGTCCCCGATGCAGCCAGAGCCTTGCTCGAGATGCCTGTGAATCCCAGCCCTGCCAGTCTGGCGGCACCTGCACCAGTGATGGAATGGGCTTCCACTGTACCTGTCCCCCTGGTGTCCAGGGTGTGTGTCCCCACGTTCCCAACCCAGGCTCTCCCTCCTCACTTCTTCCTACTCATTTCCTTTCTGCTCCGCTCTCCCTTCTCTACATTTGCCTTTTTTTTCTTTTTCCTCACCCTCCCCCCTGCCCCAGGAGCTTTGGAGGTGGGTATCAAGGTGGGGACCCTGGAGGGAGATGGGGACAAGGAATCTGTCAAGACTGTCTCATTCTGCCTGCCCACCCCAGGCCGTCAGTGTGAGCTGCCATCCCCCTGTGCCCCGAACCCCTGTGAGCACGGGGGCCACTGCGAGTCTGCCCCGGGCCAGCTGCCTGTCTGCTCCTGCCCCCCTGGCTGGCAAGGTACGCCAGTTGCTCCTTCCTCCTCCTCCTCTCCTTCACCTCCTCTGCACCCCGCTGCATACTGGGTGGTGCTGGGGACCCAGAGGGAAATGTACCCTTGGCTCTGTCTTTTGAGGGGGCTTCTTTTTAGGAAGGGACCGAGCTGGACACGGACACCTGCAGCCTGTGTGGTCAGTTCTGGAGAAGACGAAGGGATATGGCGGTGGGGAAGCTAGGACTCAGGCGGAGGGTTTGGGGACAGCTTCCTGGAGGGGCAGACTGCAATCAGAATGCATTCACTACCCACTGAAATAAGGGGAAGGCAGTTTGGGAACCGCAGGGGCAAAACACCCAGAGGCAAATGACCACATATCTCGTATTCATCCACCTCAGCCTTCAGGTTCTTCCTGAGTGCCAGGTACTCTCAGGCCCTACCCTGCACCCCCTAACCCTAGATGTTACCTTGCTCCCCATCCCCAGGCCCACGATGCCAGCAGGATGTGGATGAATGTGCTGGCCCCTCACCCTGTGGCTCCCGCGGTACCTGCACCAACCTGGAGGGGAGTTTCAGCTGTACCTGCCATAGGGGGTATAGTGGCCCTTCCTGTGATCAGGACATCGATGACTGTGATCCCAGTGAGTTCAGGGAAGCCCCCGGGGGTGCTGCTCTAGAGGACGTGTTCCTCAAGCCCGTACTGTGTGCCCAGCACTGAGCTTTCATCTTCATTCTTCTCTTACTTTTCCCATTTTATTCTTTTTTTTTTAAAGATTTCATTTATGTATTTGAGAGAGAATGAGATAGAGAGAGAGAGCATGAGAGGGGGGAGGGTCAGAGGGGGAAGCAGACTCCCCGCTGAGCAGGGAGCCCGATGTGGGACTCGATCCCGGGACTCCAGGATCGTGACCTGAGCCGAAGGCAGTCGCTCAACCAACTGAGCCACCCAGGTGCCCCTTCCCATTTTATTCTTGAAAACCAAGGCCCCAAAGAGGTTAGGTGACTTGCCCAAGGTCATGAAGCAAGAGGGATGAGGTGGGATTGGAGCACAGGTCTGTCTGAAGCCCGTAGACTTCCTCTGGCAACAAGCAAGTTAACGTTCTGTGTCACGTATGACATAATAGGCCCCCAGTGAGTCCTCCTGGAGCACTAATAGACCGGTAACGCAAGCCACGTATATACTTAAAATTTTTCTAGTGGCCACATTGAAAAAGTAAAAAAAAAAAAAAAAAAAAGATATTAGATTTAATAATATAGTTTTTATTTAAACTAATCTATAAAAATGTGATTTTGACATATAATCAATATAAAATTATTGAGATATGTTACACTCATTTTTTTTTCATACCAAATCTTCAAAATCAGAAACCTAGGGTTTATTTTACACTTAAAGCACCTCCCAGTTGGGGCCGGCCACACGTCAAGGGCTTAACAGCCGCACATGGCCAGTGGCCACTATACTGGTGGGCATAGGTCTGGAGGAGGCCCTCTGTGCTGCGCCCAGCAATTGAATAGACACAGCTAACAGCGTGTGCTTGGCTCCCCTGTGCCCCTCCTCCTTGCACGCAGGTGAGGTTTCCAGATAACGGGGGAGATGAGGCCACAGGGGGGACACAATTTGACCCCTCTGACCGAATGTGCCCCTCCCAGCGAAGCCTGGTTTCCCCCTGACTCCCCGCTATGAAAGGCATGGCTGGGTCGGGCTGGGCTGATGGCCGAGGGGTATGACCAGGCCTTCTCCCTTTGGACCTTAGACCCCTGCCTGAATGGTGGCTCCTGTCAGGATGGCGTGGGCTCCTTCTCATGCTCCTGCCTCCCTGGCTTCGCTGGCCCCCACTGTGCCCGAGATGTGGACGAGTGTGTGAGCAGCCCCTGTGGCCCGGGCACGTGCACCGACCACGTGGCCTCCTTTACCTGCACCTGCCCACCTGGTTATGGAGGTTTCCACTGTGAGCAGGACCTACCAGACTGCAGCCCCAGGTGTGTGGGGCCTCCACCGGGAGCTCAGGGACCCTGGTGTCGGATGGGCTGTGGAACATGACAAGGCGTGGGGACAGGAAGGGGGTTCTTGGCGTGGCACCCACCTCACAGCTCTGATTCGTGATGGAGCAGTGTCCGGGAAGGGTCAGGGCATCTGTTTGGAGGTCACCTTGGGGACCCTGGTTCCTAAGGGAGTGAGGTCAGGCCAGGGCAGGGCCTCCACGTGGCTCCCACCTTAGGTCTGAGGTACTTGGTAAGTTGGGGCTGAGGGAGAGGAAGGGGCGGGACCTCTGCTGGGGCTTTGGCTTCTGGTTGGGGGGGAGGGGTCAGAGAAGAGTGCCCTCTCCACGGGGGGGGGGGGGGGGGGAGAAGGGCCAGGAAGGTGGGGCCTGCATGGGGGCAGAGCCTGACCCGTCCCTCCCTTCCCCTCTCAGCTCCTGCTTCCATGGCGGGACCTGCGTGGACGGCGTGAGCTCGTTCAGCTGCCAGTGCCGCCCCGGCTACACGGGCGCACACTGCCAGCACGAGGCCGACCCCTGCCTCTCTCGGCCCTGTCTGCATGGGGGCGTCTGCACTGCTGCCCACCCTGGCTTCCGCTGCACCTGCCCGGAGGGCTTCACTGGCGCGCAGTGCCAGGTGGGCGGGGTCACCGGGGGCCTGGGGGAAGAATTTGGAGGGCTGTTCTGGGGTAGGGGCCTGCCCGAGACCCCGGAGAAGCTGCGGTGCGGCTCCTCGGGGGTCCTCGAGTGCTGACGCTGACAACTTCCCCTCCAGACGCTGGTAGACTGGTGCAGCCGCGCGCCCTGTCAGAACGGGGGTCGCTGTGCCCCGACCGGGGCCACCTTCTACTGCCTTTGCCCTCCGGGGTGGAGCGGCCGCCTCTGTGACATCCGGAGTGTGCCCTGCAGGGAGGCCGCAGCCCAGATCGGTGAGGCGGAGCACAGAGGCGGGGTGTGGGGCTCCGGAGCGGGTGTGTGCACACCTTGCTAATGTGAATACAGTAAGGCTATGGCAGAGCATACAGGCGGGATGGGGTGTGTGGCTGAGTGTTGGTGGATGTGTAATGTGGCACAGCTGGTCAGGGCCAGGATGGTGTCACGGTCACCACAAGGTAGCTGGGATGATGTCGGTGATGCTGTGTGTGACTGAGCTAGGGCGCGCAGCAAAGGTGTGGGTATGTGTTTGTGTGCCAGTTTGGGCGGGGGGTTGTGTGACAACCCGATGGGGTGTGTGTGAGACCCTGGTGACTGATGGCCGCAGGGATGTTCGGTGATGCTGTGAGCGATGCAGGCAGGGAGGGGCAAATCCGTGTCTGACCCGGCTCTCCTCTGCGCAGGGGTACGGCTGGAAGAGCTGTGTCAGACAGGTGGGCGGTGTGTGGACAAGGACAATTCCCACTACTGCGTGTGCCCAGAAGGCCGCACGGGCAGCCACTGTGAGCAGGAGGTGGACCCCTGCTTGGCCCAGCCCTGCCAACATGGGGGCACCTGCAGAGGCTACGTGGGGGGTTATGTGTGCGAGGTAAGGGGCACCCAGAGTCGGGGAGAGGGGATCTGGTCATGCTGGGTGTGTCTGTACACACATTTCTGTGTGTCTGTGACCTGGTGTGGGTGTGTCTCTCTAGGCATGCCTGGGTTTTTGCTTTTGTGTCTCTGGGTATAATCTTGTGGGTGTATTTCTTGGTGGATCTGAGGACTTTCTGTGTGTCTGGGTGTGCCTCTATCTTTGGTTGTTTCCTGGATGTATCTATCCCTCTGTGCGCCCCATCTTTTGGGTATGAATGCACGTGCTGGTGTCCGAGTGCATCTTTGGTTGTATGTGTCTTGGGTACATCTGGGCATCTGGATGTTTCTCCTGTGCATTTGTATGTGTGTGTCCCTTGGCACTGGCTGTGTCTCTAACTCTCTGTGTCTGGGTGTCCTCTGTGAGCGGGTGTGTTTCCTTGTACTGTGTGTGTGTGTGTGTCTCTGCAAACAGGGCATTCCTCTGTGTGTCGGATGAGACTGTATGTCCTTTGGTCCTGTGATCTCTGTGTCTTCATGGGGAGTATCTGTGTCCCTCTGGGCTTAGAGGTCCCTGTCTCACATCACTGCAGTGTCCAGCTGGCTACACGGGGGACAGCTGTGAGGATGATGTAGACGAGTGTGCCTCCCAGCCCTGCCAGCACGGTGGCTTCTGCATTGACCTAGTGGCCCGCTATCTCTGCTCCTGCCCCCCAGGAACACTGGGTATGCCAGGGCCAGGGTTGGGGGACAGGATGGGAGGCTGGGTCTCCATCCCCTCCTGACTGCTCCCCCATCCTCCCCTCCCCAAGGCGTGCTCTGTGAGATTAATGAGGACGACTGTGGCCCAGGCCCACCCCTGGACCAGGGCCCCCGGTGCCTGCACAATGGTACCTGCGTGGACCTGGTGGGTGGTTTCCGCTGCACCTGCCCCCCCGGATACACTGGCTTGCGCTGTGAGGCGGACATCAATGAGTGTCACCCAGGTGCCTGCCATGATGCACACACTCGGGATTGTCTGCAGGACCCAGGTGGGGGCTTCCACTGCATTTGCCGAGCAGGCTTCACAGGTAAGCATGGGAGAGGCGGCTGCCCTGGGATCCTGCCTGTGTGCCTACACTGTGGCTGATCCGCTAGCTCCTGCTTGTCTAGGTCCCCGCTGTCAGACTGTCCTGTCTCCCTGCGAGTCCCAGCCATGCCAGCACGGAGGCCAGTGCCGTCCCAGCCCAGGCCCTGGGGGTGTGCTGACATTTACCTGTCACTGCATTCCGGTAGGTCACATCGGTGTCTCTGGGGGAGGAGAGTGCGAGTGGCCTCGCTAGAGGGCGTGGCTTTAGGGGAGAAGAGGTGGAAGGGAAAGGAGTTCCTGAGAAATACTGAAAATACCTGGAGAGAGAGAGTGTGTGTGTCTTTGTTGGGGGGGGGGGAGGCACTGGGGTTTGGAGACCTGGCCTCCTGGGGAAGGCGGGGCTTTTCTGCAAGGTGGGGCCTCCAGTGGGCAAGGGAGAGGTTGGGCGGGACCTGGGGAGATTGGAGGCTCAACCTTCTCAAGCCTTGACCCCCTCCCCTCCCCTCTCTCTCTTCTCCCTTGCAAATCCCTCCCTCCCCTCTCTTTCTCCAACCGGATCCCATCTCTCATCTCCAGCCGTTCTGGGGCCCGCGTTGCGAGCGGGTGGCGCGCTCCTGCCGGGAGCTGCAGTGTCCGGCGGGCGTCCCGTGCCAGCAGACGGTCCGTGGGCCGCGCTGCGCCTGTCCTCCCGGACTGTCGGGGCCCGCCTGCCGGGGCGCGCGGGGGTCGCCGCCGGTGGCCGCCAACGCGAGCTGCGTGGCCTCCCCGTGCCTCCACGGTGGCTCCTGCCGCCCCGCGCCGCTCGCCCCCTTCTTCCGCTGCACGTGCGCGCCGGGCTGGGCCGGGGCGCGCTGCGAGGCGCCCGCGGCGGCGCCCGAGGCCCCGGAGGAGCCTCTGTGCCCGAGCGCAGCCTGCGAGGCCAAGAGCGGGGACAAGCGCTGTGACCGCGAGTGCAACAGCCCGGGTTGCGGCTGGGACGGCGGCGACTGCTCGCTGAGCGTGGGCGACCCCTGGCGGCAGTGCGCGGCGCTGCAGTGCTGGCGCCTCTTCAACAACAGTCGCTGTGACCCCGCCTGCAGCTCGCCAGCCTGCCTCTACGACAACTTTGATTGCCGCGCGGGCGGCCGCGAGCGAGCCTGCAAGTGAGCCCCTCCGTCTGTCTGTCGTCCCTTTGACCGGTCCGTCTGGCCGCTCGCCTCGGTCTGCGTCTTCTCCGTCCGTGTGCCACACCTGCCCATCCGTGGGCCCCGCCCCTCTATCCGCCCTTTCACTGGCCTGTCAGTCCACCCTTAAACTGTCTGTTGGATGTCCACTCACTCAAACCCCTCGGTTTCTTCGTGTACCCTGTCTGCCTGTCTGAGTGCTGTTTGTCTGTGCGGCTCATCTGCCCGCCCATGTGCCACTGCTGTCTGTCCCTCCGTCCACACAAGACATGACCTGTTTGTCCATCAGTGTGTCCATCCGTCTGTCTTTCTTTCTGCTTGTGCACTCCATCTGTCTCTCCCTATGTCCTGTTTGTCCATCTTTGGCTTTGTTCTGTCCATCTGTGAATTCCTTTCGTCCCTCAGTACACCCAAATGTTTGTCTACTTCTTCTTCTCCTTCTCCTTCTTTTTCTTCTTCTTCTTCTTCTTCTTCTTCTTCTTCTTCTTCTTCTTCTTCTTCTTCTTCTTTTCTTCTTCTTTTTTAGATTTTATCCATTCGTTTGAGAGAGAGAGAGAGAGGGAGAGAGCGAAAGCGCAACATGGGGGGGAGGGGCAGAGGGAGAAGCAGGCTTCCCGCTGAGCAGGGAGCCCGACCTGGGGCTCGATCGCAGGACCTGAGGATCATGACCTGAGCTGAAGGCAGACACTTAACCCACTGAGCCTCCCAGGCTCCCCTGCCTACACTCTTCTGGTCCATTCTTGGACCTCATCTGTCCATCCGTCTGACTGTATGCCAGTTTGTCCGTGTGCCTCATTTGTCTGTTCATCTGTGCCTCTTCATCCATGTGCATCCATGTACCTCTTCTGTCTGTCCTTCTGTCCATCTGCTCACCCTTTTTGCCTCCCTATATGCCCATTCATCTGTCCATGCCCCTACCGGCCCCTCCCTGCCCATCTCCTGCCCCTGTCTCTGTCTGTTCATGAGTGCTGTCTTTCCGTCCCTTGCGTTCCATCTGTCCATCCCTGTGCTCTGCCTCTTTTGTCCCTCTCTCTGCCTAGAACGCTTCCCTCATTTTTTATCTCCCTGTCTTTATTACCCCCACTTTCCTCCTCACCCACTCTGCTCCAAACACCCTGGCCTCTGCCATTTCTCAGATACCCTAGGCTTGGACGCACCTCAGGGTCTTTGCACTGCACTGCTGTTCCCTCTGCCTGGAACCCTCTTCCCTCAGGAAGCTACATGGCTCCTCCCTCACCTCCTTCAAGCCTTTGCTCAACCAGCAGCCCCTTCTCAGTGAGCTCCTCCCTGGCCTCCCCCAGTACTTTCCTTGCTTTATGTTTCTCCTTAGCATTTAATTCCATGTAGCACCGTGTGTGTATGTGTGTGTTTATATTTAGCTTTGACTGATGTGTAATTGAAATGCTGTGTATTCTGCTGCTCATTCATCTCTTTTAATGTCTGTCTCTGCCCACTGGAATGCCTCCTCTTCCTGGGCAAGGATTTGTGTCTGAGCCATATCCTGGAGGCCTATAGCAGCATCCAACACACAGCGGGCATCTGTCAATATTTATTTATGACTAGTTCCTGAAGGAACGACTGGATTTGCAGAAGCCCTGACACCTGTCGGATGCCTTCTAGCTCTCTGTGCTTTCACCGTCTGTCCCCCTTGTGTCTCTGGAGTCTGGGTGCTCTCCGGTGTGTGTGCAGGGCTGTTGGATGACCCTGACCCACTCCTCCCCTCCCTCAGCCCAGTGTACGAGAAGTACTGTGCGGACCACTTTGCCGATGGCCGCTGCGACCAGGGCTGCAACACGGAGGAGTGTGGCTGGGACGGGCTGGACTGTGCGGGCGAGGTGCCGGCCCTGCTGGCCCGCGGTGTGCTGGTGCTCACCGTGCTGCTGCCGCCCGAGGAGCTGCTGCGCTCCAGCGCCGACTTCCTGCAGCGGCTCAGCGGCATCCTGCGCACCTCGCTGCGCTTCCGCCTGGACGAACACGGCCAGGCCATGGTCTTTCCTTACCACCGGCCTGGTCCTGGCTCCGAATCCCGGAACCGGCGGGAGCTGGCCCCTGAGGTGATCGGGTGAGTGCTCCACCCTGGAGGAGCCGTGAGGTTCCTTGGGGTGCTGATCTGGGAGGGGAGGGTCCCTGCTCATCAGGTCTTGTGTGTTTCACTTCCCTTAACATCTTGGGGAGCCTTCCTGGTGATGTGACAAGCACGTCCCACCTTCGGCACCTCTGTCATTTGGGGCTGGGTCATTCTTTGCTGTAGGGGGTTGTCTTGTGTGCTACGGGATGCTCAGCAGCAGCGTGCTTGGCCTCCACCCCCACCGCCCCCCCAAGATGTGACAACCAGAAGTGCCTCCGGGTACCGGCAAGGGTCCTCTGGGGAGCAGGGTGGTTAAGGGCATGTGTAGTTTTTGCTTTTGTTTTGTTTTTTTTTTTTTTAGAAATGGAAAACAGAATTTTCCTGATGGTGGCCTGGGAGAGAGGCCAGAAGGGAGGTGTGGCCTCTGAGCAGGGAGGGGGCCCCTGACAGAGGAGGGCTGGATTCTAGAGATGGAGGACAGGGGCTCTGACAGGGACAGCTGGAATGGGGGAGTGGATGGAGTCGGGTGGCTGACCTACCAGTCCCTGGATGTTCCCTGGGTGTGGGGATAGGGTATCTGGGGGCGGTGGGGCCGGGGGGGGGGAGGTGTCTCATCAAGATAAGGACACAGGATGATAAACAGGGGTCACATTCAGGCTTGCAGAATCTGAGGAGTCTGGGGGTATCGTGGAGCCTCCCCCCTAGGAGACAGCCAGAGGCTGAAGATATGCACAAGAGAGATAAAAGGGTTGTTGGAGCCATGGGAGGGACTCAAAGAAGTGGGGACAGAAGAATGATCTGGGGACATTGAGACCTAAGGACTGGTTGAGGGAAATCAGCTCGAAAAAGAGGAGGAGTAGCCAGAGAGATAGCAGGAGAACTGGGCCGTGCAGCACTAGGGATCTCAAGGCAAGAGGGAGTTTGGAGAGTCTGAGATGGGGAGTCAGATGTATGTGCCGCATGGAAGGGGTGCTCTCAGGGGAGAGGGGATGAGGGACGCAGGATGGGCAGGAAGGGGTCTCAGTCTGGCCTCAGCGCGATCCCTCAGGGAGCTCTAGAGCGCGAATAGCACCCTAGAGTCAGTCCCCCCTTGAGACAGAAGGGCCACCTTGTTTTTTTTTTTAAGATTTTTTATTTTTTGTTAGAGAGAGAAAGTACAAGCAGGGGGAGCGGCAGGGAGAGGGAGAGGGAGAAGCAGACTCCCCACTCAGCAGGGAGCCTGACACAGGGCTCGATCCCAGGACCCTGGAATCATGACCTGGGCCGAAGGCAGATGCTTAACCGACTGAGCCACCCAGGCGCCCTCTAAAGGGCCACTTTGTATACCCTGTATCTGCCAGTCATGGGCTGAGGGCTGCCCTAAGGGGTGTCACCTCCCAAGTGAAAAGGTCCCCCCTTTGCTGAGGTCAGTTTTCTGGAGAAGAGGCGGCTGTCAGCTGTTAGAAGCTGCAGACCTGGGTGTGCGCCAACGGCATCCACTAGAGATGGTGACATGAAAACAGTGCCCACTGGATTCGTGGCCAAGGGGACACTGGTGGCCACAGCAAGACTGGTTTTGGGGTGTGGTGGGTTGGATGCCAGACTGGGGGCAGGTGGGCCCTGGCAACGTGGTGAGAGGAGAGGACTCCTCTGAGTCCCTGGGATGGGGCTCCGTGCCTGGCTTACAGCAGGTGCCCCATGGAACCTGCCTGTCCTTCCCTCGTGTCCCTGCAGCTCTGTGGTGATGCTGGAGATTGACAACCGGCTGTGCCTGCAGTCGCCCGAGAATGACCACTGCTTCCCCGATGCGCAGAGCGCGGCCGACTACCTGGGAGCGCTGTCGGCCGTGGAGCGCCTTGACTTCCCGTACCCGCTGCGTGCCGTTCGGGGTGAGGCCCCGGCCTCCCGGTGGGTGGCGAGGGTGGAGCCGGGGCTCCGCGGGGGGCGGGCCCTGGCCTGTGGTTGAAGCCCCGCCCCCCCGCTTCCCGCCCACAGGGGAGCCGCTGGAGCTGCCAGAGCCAAGTGTGCCGTTGCTTCCCCTGCTGGCCGCCAGCGCCGTCTTCCTGCTGGTCATCCTCGTCCTGGGTGTCATGGTCGCCCGGCGCAAGCGCGAGCACAGCACCCTCTGGTTCCCCGAGGGCTTCGCGCTCCACAAGGATGTGGCTGCCGGCCACAAGGGCCGGCGGGAGCCCGTGGGCCAAGATGCGCTGGGCATGAAGTAAGGACCCTGCCCACTCTCCATGCCTGTGTGTGTGTGTGGGGGGGGTCTTGGGAGTCCTTGAGCCCACTTTGACCTGATTCTGACCTCTCATCCCAAGTGGACCCTAACTTCAGACCCCGGCCCAGACGCCTGTGCTCACCCCCTTGACCGCTGACTGACTCCATGGTCCCTGGGGATCACCCCGGACTCATGACCCCTCTCACCCCATTTCCTGTATTTCAGTTCCCTTGACTCAAATCCTACTCTGACCCCACCGTGACCCTGCCCTGATCCTGGCCTCTCGGACGTCACCCTAACGCTCAGATTTGTTCCCACATCACTGCCGGCCTCATGATCCCTGTTTGCACCTCAACCCCTCACTGATCCCTGACCCTATCCTCTATGACCCCCCAGTAGCACCTCTGACTCTAACTCACTCTGACCTTTGACCCCATTCTGACCCTCTTTCCACCCCCAACTCAGTGTTCATTCTCCATGATCCTCAATCCTGGCCTTGGCCCTGGGCCTCGCCTCCAACTCCCTGATGTGTCCCTCAAGACCCCCAACCCCACCCTGACCTAACCCCTGAATTTACCCCTCTCCCGTGACCCCATGACCTCTTTACTCCTCAATACGGCATCCTTGATCCTGGCTGCATCTCTCACCTGTGGCGAGGACAACTGCATCCTCATGTCATCTTCTGTAATCCCTGCTACGTGCCTGGGACCCTCACCTATCCCATAGCCCACTGTTCTGACCCCTGACCCCACTCCTGTCCCTTCCCCAATTCCACCTTAAGACCCTGGCTGCCACCCATCATAACCTCTGACTACCCCCCCACTGTGACCTTGACTTCATCCTGCATGCTCTCTTTGGACCCTGTATCTTGACCCTGTCTCCTGTGCCTACTGACCCAGGACCCCAGAACCCAACCCCAGACCCAGACCTGGCCTCTGGGAGCTCTTCTCTGACCCCACCCCAAATTCGCCTATCAGGTTGCACATCTCCATTGTCTCCTCTCCCCTGCCCCGTTCCCATTGTCCCCACAGGAACATGGCCAAGAGCGAGACTCTGATGGGGGAGGTGGCCACAGACTGGATGGACACGGAGTGCCCAGAGGCTAAGCGACTGAAGGTTCTGCCCCTTTCTCTGAGCCCTGCCCTCAGGGTCCTGGGTGGAGGCCCCAGTGGCCAGGGGGAGAGTCAGGGGAAATCTCTGCTCTCCTCGGCTCTGGGGAACAGTCATGGCATCCGCCTCATCGTGCCCCTCTCTAACCAGGCCCCTGCTCCCAGGCCAGGGTGGGGGTCTTCCTGCCCCTGGCCCAGACAGCGACTCTGCTTTCTCTCTGCTGGGTCCAACTTTGTCCAGCATGCCCGGGCTGAAAGTGCTCCTAGCTGGTTTTAAACACCATGTCCTCTGCTGGGGCCACACCCATGGGCTCTTAGTCAGCTTGGGCTGCCATTACGAAATACCACAGACTGAGGGGCTTAAACAACAGATCCCTATTTTCTCACAGTTCTGCGGGCTGGAAGTCCAAGATCAAGGTGCTGGCAGGGTTGGTTCTTGGTTAGGGCTCTCTTCTGGCCTTGCAAACAGCTGCCTTCTCCATGTGTCCTCACACGGCATTCCTCTGTGTGCCTGGAGGGGGAGAGCCCTGGTGTTTCTGCCTTTTCTTAAAAGGATGTCAGTCCTAGTGCATTAGGGCCCCACCTTTATTTATGCCCTTGTTTCAGCTTAATTACCTCCTTAAAGTCCTACGTCCAAATATAATCATGTTGGAGGGTAGGGCTTCAGCATCTGACTTTTGGAGGAGCACCGTTCTGTCTATAACAGGTTCCTGCTAGCATTTCTTTGTACTGGCTGAATGTCTTGAACACACACATGGGCATCTTATTTCATTTTTATGAGGACCCTATAAAGCAGCTATTAATATACACCTCAGTTCTCTGCTGCCTCTCCCTGCCTAGAGGCAGTTCTCAGCCTGCCTCTCCCCTTTATTTATGAGAGAGAGAGAGCGCCAGTGAGTGAGAGTGCACGCACAAGCAGGGGGAGGGGCAGAGGAAGAAGGAGAGAGAATCTCAAGCAGACTGTGCTGAGCTTGGAGCCCGATCTGGGGCTCAATCTCATCACCCTGAGATCGTGACCTGAGCCAAAACCAAGAGTCTGATGCTTAACTGACTGAGCCACCGGGGCACCCCCTGCCTAGATTTTAATGTTTGTGAAATGGAGACATCTATTACAATTGACACCTGAAGAAATCTGTTCACCTCAGGCTTTTCTTTTTCTTTCTCATTCCAAAGTGGGTTTTAAGTAGATAGCGCAATATGTTTTTGATGGCATTTTCGGATTGCAGAATGACAGTATTATCCTGATTTTGCTCATGAGAAGCTCAGAGCTCTTGTGTGATTTGCCAGCTGATGGACAGCTAACCAGAAAGGGTCAGGGAGGATGGGACAGCTGTCCATCACCTGGCTCTCCCCTTCCATGAAATTCAACTCTCTACCTGGGTCCTTAAGCTCAGGTCTGGCTTGATCAGGCTGTGTTTGGTGCCTGAAGGCTCTTAAATGTCCTGGCAGGCTAGTTAAGAATACTCCGTCCTGTTTTCATAACATCACTATGCCTTTTGGACCCTGAGCCTGAAATCTATCAAGCTCCTGCCAGGGGCCCAGGGGCCATGCTTGTGAAGGTAAATCGATATGTTTGTATATGACTATTCTGTCCTGATACCTCATGTTCCTGTTCATGGTACTGCGTAGGAGCCCCACATGGTATCCAGAGCTTCTCCCTGCTTCTCTCTTTCCCTCCCACCCAATCACCCTTTTCTCAGATTATAATTGATCCATAAAGGATCACCCGCCCCCACCCCCACATTTCTTTTACCAGCGTGATTTATAGTTTCCAGAATACAAGTTTTGCATTTCTTTTGTTAAATTTAATTCTAAGTATTTTATTCTTCTTGATACAGTTGTCATGGGACTGTCCTCTTCACTTTTGGTGTGTTATGTCTAGTATATAGACAGGTGTGTGCTGACAGGTGCTATGCTCTGTGTCTCTTCTTTGATCACCTCCTTGGGTTCCTAGCCCTCCCCACTTCCAACCCAGAGTAGAATCCCAGTTCTTCCTTTTATGAGTTTTGTGAGCTCCAATATGTCAATTTCCTGTTTCCGTATGTATAAGAGAAGCAGGATATTCAGGGTTTCTTGGGGCTGTGAATGCGCACCTCCATGAGAGGAACCTGTGAGGGCGCCCAGACTGTCCCTCTGACTGTCTCTCTCCCAGCTCTTTGTGAGAGCCCTGGTCCTTATGCCTCCAGGTAGAGGAGCCCTGTGTGGGGGCTGAGGATGCTGTGGATTGCCGCCAGTGGACCCAACACCACCTGGTTGCCGCAGACATCCGTGTGGCACCAGCCATGGCGCTGACACCCCCGCAGGGCGATGTGGATGCTGATGGCATGGATGTCAATGTGCGAGGCCCAGGTCAGCCACGGGGCCTCCCCGCCAAGGATGCCCTTTCCCCATCCTACTTCTGAAAAGTTGCATCTGGGTCTGGGTTCTGGGGAGAGTAGGGTGTGTCCAGCATCCGTCTGTGGGGGTGTGTGTTAATCAGGACTCTGGGTTGTGATGATAGCCCAACTCAAACGAGTTTACTGGCTCTGGTAACTGGAAGCATCATGGATATTTGGGTCCAGGACTCACGGCCTCGTGGCTCCAGCCCGGGGAGGCTTTCTCCTGGGGGCACGGTAGCCACAGGCCCAGACCAGCAGCGGCAACCGGCAGAAGTCCCAGGATGACTTCTGATTGGATGGGCTGCAGTCACGTGCCCATCCCTCAACTAATCAGTGTGCCCTGGGGGCTGGAATATGCAGATTAACTGCAAGGGGCGGGGCTAAGGCCTCTCCTCGAGCCAGGGACTGGGTTTAGCGCTACCCGGGGCTTGAGGATGGGGAGTGGGGTGCACGTGGCTCCCTAAGGGAAACAGGGGCAAATGCTCATGCAGAAGGTAGCAGATCACATTATTTGGATCCTCTTGGATCCGTCTTTGCCACATTTCAGGGTAGTCCTCCCCCAGCTCCTTTTGCTTTTGTTCCAAATGGCCTGCACCTATGACTCTCTTTTGAAATTCCTCAGGCTACCAGGGTCTGAGGTGCCTGGGATTTTATGTCCCTGGGGTGACTCTTTCCCAGTGGGTGGGGGCGTGTGAAAGGCACAGCTCCTTTGCCTGGAGCCGGATTACAGCTTGAGGTACAGTTCAGCCTCCAGAGTCCCCCTTCAGGATCAGGCTGAAGTAAACCCCTGGGAATTTGCCTGAGGCTGAATGCTTCTCCTCCCTCCTTCCCTCCCTCCCTCCTGGATCCTCTACCGTGACAAATCATGGAAGGGCTGCCTGTGAATCCTCATCCTGGGTTGGTTTCTGGGGTACCTGACACAGGTGTGTGTGTGTGTGTGTGTGTGCGCCCGCGCACGCCATTCCCTCTTGTGCTCTCATGTCCCACTTCCTCCTAATGCAGTGCCCTCAATAGTAGTCCCTGGAAAGGCCCCTGTGCCCACCTCCCTTGTGACATACTCCTGGTCCCCGCAGATGGCTTCACTCCACTGATGCTGGCCTCCTTCTGTGGGGGGGCCCTGGAGCCAATGCCCACTGAGGAGGATGAGGCAGAAGACACATCAGCCAGCATCATCTCAGACTTGATCTGCCAGGGAGCCCAGCTTGGGGCACGGACTGACCGCACAGGGGAGACAGCCCTGCACCTGGCTGCCCGCTACGCCCGGGCTGATGCAGCCAAGCGGTTGCTGGATGCTGGGGCAGACACCAATGCCCAGGACCACTCAGGGCGCACTCCTTTGCACACTGCTGTCACCGCGGATGCCCAGGGCGTGTTCCAGGTGAGATGCACCTGCCCCTTTGGACTTTGGAGCTTGCACAGGTATCAGGCAGACCTGGGTTTGAGCCCTGGTCCTGCAAAATAGAGCTTTGTTTTTCTCATCTGTTAAATGGTGATATACAGTGGCCGGCAGATAGCTGCTTCCCGAAGTTCATGGAGTCTAGGGGATGGGGGCGTTGGGGAACTCAGAGGACTTACAGATGCTCCTGGTCCCTCTGTTTCTGCCATGACCCTCCCTTCTGCATGCTTTCTCTTCTAGATTCTCATCCGGAACCGCTCCACAGACCTGGATGCCCGCATGGCGGATGGCTCTACGGCACTAATCCTGGCCGCCCGCCTGGCGGTGGAGGGCATGGTGGAAGAGCTCATTGCCAGCCATGCTGATGTCAATGCTGTGGATGAGCTTGGTAAGCTGTGGGGAGGAGCAGTGGGTGGAGGCTGAGAGGGTATCACCTGGGCCCTGACTGTCTTATGTGAATTATCTTGAGACCCGATCACTGAAACCCATGCACATATAATAGGGCTTCGACATGGACTTAAACTCACATGCTTTTTTTTTCTTTTTTTTATGGCATCCCCTAGCCCATATGACACCTCAGTGACTTAGAAAAAGGTGGCCTTCCCCAAGACACTTCATTTCCATCTGCTTTGTTAGAAGAACCTGCTCTGCTGCCCTCTGCTGGACAGCTGGCGTACTACGTTTGCACATTGGCCAAATCCCCACGTGATGTAACTGCCTCTGTGGAGGCGGCTTGCGGGCCCAGGGCCCCGCCGGTGCAGATTCATAACCTGCCCTCATGACCAGAGCACCTCACATGGCTGCAGTCACACTCAGATGCTCATAAACATCCTTTGAAGCAGGTGTTCTCAACCTCTACCCCATTTACACTTGGGGTTGGATGATTCTTCGTGCGGAGGGCTGTCCTTGCAGTGTAGGCTATTAAGCTGGCATCCCTGGCCTTGACCCACTAGATGCTAGCAGCACCCCACTCCCTAGTTGTGACAACCCAAAATGTCTTCAGACATTGGCAAATGCCCCTGGGTGGGGGGATCACCCCGGTTGAGAACTGTGGCTCTGGAGGACTGCTGTCCAATAGAACTTTCTGTGAAGATGGAAATATTCTTGGTCTCTGCTGTCCAGTGTGGTGGCTTTGGAGCCCTTGAAATGTGGCTAGGGGGAATGAAGAGCCAAATGTCTTATTTCATTTAGTTTTTTTTTTTTTTAAGATTTTATTTATTTATTTGAGAGAGAGAGAGAGAGAGAGAGAGCATGAGTTGGGGGGGAGGGGCAGAGGCAGAGGGAGAAGCAGACTCCTTGCTGAGCAGGGAGCCTGATGTGGAGCTTGATCCCAGGACCCCGGGATCATGACCTGAGCCGAAGGCTGATGCTTAACCGACTGAGCCACCCAGGCGCCTTCATTTAATTTTTTAACCTTTGTTTTGCCTGCCTTTTTTTTTTTAAGGCTTTATTTAGATATAATTCACATACCATACAATTCAGCCACTGAAAGTATAACATCCAGTGGCCTTTAGTATAATCACATACTTGTGCCACTATCCTCACAATACGTTTTATAACATTTTCATCACCTGGAAAACAAGCTCTCACCATTAGCTGACCCCCTCCAATCTTGTCTTCCTAGCCCTGGGCAACCACTAATGAACGTACTTTCTCTCTCGATGGATTTGCCTACTGTGAATATTTCCTATAAGTGGAATCAAATAATATATGGTCTTTTTTGACTGGCTTCTTTCGCTCAGCATATTGTTTTTAAGGTTTACGAAGTGCGGTAGCAGGGACTGGTACTTTTAATTTGTTTGTGATTTTTTAATGATCAAATAATATTCCACTGTATGGATATACATTTTGTTTATCAGTTTATCCATTGATGGACCTTAGGGGAGTTTCTACTTTTTGGCTATTGCTGCTATGAACATTCATGTACAAGTTTTGGTGTAGACGTGTGGTTTTCATTTCTCTTGGGTAAACATTCAGGAGCAGAATTGCTGGGTCTGGGTTTTATGGTCATGTGATCACTCTTTGTTGAACCTTGTGAGGAGTGGCCTGTTTTCCATAGCGCCTGCCCCTGTTTGATGTCCCTGCCATTAGTGCACAAGGGTTCCAGTTGTTCCAGTTTCTTCACGTCCTCCCAAACAGATGGTATTGTCTGTCTTTTGTGCTAGCCTTCCTAGTGGGTGTGAATTGGTATCTCATTGTGGTTTTCATTTTTATTTCCCTGATGGCTAGTGATATTGAGTGTGCTTCCCTGTGCTTATTGGCCATTTGTAGATCTTCTTTGGAGAAATGTCTGTTCTGATCCTTTGCCCATTTTTAAATTGGGTTTTTGTCATTTTTTGGGTCTTTTTTATTTTATTTTTTAAAAAATTTTAATTCCAGTATAGTTAACATAGTGGGTTTTTGTCTTTTTATTATTGAGTTATGAGTTCTTTATATGTTCTAGGTATAAGTCTCTTATTAGATATATGGTTTATAATTATTTTTCTCATTTTGAAGGGTTTCTTTTCACTTAGAAGCACAAACATTTTAATTTTGGTGATGTCCAATTTATCGATGTCTCTTGTTATTGCTGCTTGTTTTTTGTTATCATATCTAAGAATCCTTTGCCTAATTCAAGGTCATGACGTTTTACTTCTATGTTTTCCTCTGAATGTTTTGTAGTTTGAGCTCTTACGTTTAGGTCTTTGATTCATTTTGAGTTAATTTTTGTATTTGGTGTGAGGTAGGGATCCAACTTCATTCTTTTGCATGTGGAGAGCCAGGTGTCCCAGACCATTTGTTGAGAAGGCTCTCCTTTCTCCATTGAGTGGTCTTGGCACCTATGCTGTTTAGTTGTAATTAATTTAAATCTAAAGAGCAATATGTGCCTGGTGGCTACAACCAGCACCCCACATAGTACCCCCCTGTGTATGGACAGTCACACACTGTGGTTCCTTGGACAGAGAGTCACTCCACATACATGGACACAAACACATGTTCAGACACTCTGTGGCAGAGTGTTCCCCCCCCCCGGCTATATTCTAGATACTTCCTTTCCCTCTGCCATGGGATCCTAGCAAATGAACCCAGTTCTAACCCTGACTTCTTCCCCCCCCCCCCCCCCCCCCCCCCCCGCCCAGGGAAATCAGCTTTACACTGGGCAGCAGCCGTCAACAATGTGGAGGCCACCTTGGCCCTGCTCAAAAATGGAGCCAACAAGGACATGCAGGATAGCAAGGTGAGCCCCAGCCCTTGACTCACCAGGCAGTCAGCCCTGGCACAACCCCCTAAATGTGGCAAAGAGCAGGGTGGGGTAGGTTAGTGGGGGCATTCATCCTGCCTGCAGCCAGGTTTCAGGGATAGGATTTGGACCTACCAACCTCCAACAGTGGATCAGAGGAGAAAGCCTGTGGCAGTTGCTGTGTGACCTTGGGCAAATTGCTTAACATCTCTGAACTTTACTGTCCTCATCTGTGAAGTGGGGAAGCACCAGTACCCACCTCACTTTTGTCTCCTGAGGATTCAGTGAAATTTGTAAACTGCTTAGCAGATCCTCAGTAAAACATAACTGTTATGATCATTGTTTTAAAACCCTTGCAAGGTGGAATTACTCTCCTCATTTTATAAATGGGAAGAGTGAGGGTCAGAGGGGCAAAGGGGTAGATTCTATCCTCTTCTGACATTTTGATATTTTATTCATTATGGATTTTTTTTTGCAATAATCTTAAATTAAAAAGTAATGCATTAAAATATCATTTATTTTGATGACTGGTTTTTGACACCCCTTAAATTTTATGCCTAAAGCAAGCTGTCTCACTTTCCATACCTTAGTCCTGGCTCTGGGGCATGGGGCTTAGTAGGTCCTGGATGAAAGTGCTTTAAAAGAAAGAACTTGCCCAGTTTCCCTTAGCAGAGCTGGGATTCCATCCAACTCTGTTGGGCTGGAGAGTGTGAATTCTTCCCTCTTAGTGTCCACCAGGGGCTAGGGGCCTATGAGACCTTGGCCAGGGGGTTAATCCTGGCTCTTGCGATGCTGACATCTCGGGGGTTCTGTGCCCCACCCCCCTCAGGAGGAAACTCCACTGTTTCTGGCCGCCCGAGAGGGCAGCTATGAGGCTGCCAAACTGCTGCTGGACCACTTTGCCAACCGTGAGATCACAGACCACCTGGACAGGCTGCCGCGGGATGTGGCCCAGGAGCGGCTGCACCAGGACATCGTGCGCCTGCTGGACCAGCCCAGTGGGCCCCGCAGCCCTCACGGTCCTCATGGCCTGGGGCCCCTCCTCTGTCCACCTGGGGCCTTCCTCCCCGGCCTCAAGGTGGCACAGTCGGGGGGCAAGAAGAGCCGGAGGCCACCGGGGAAGGCGGGGCTGGGGCCACAGGGCGCCCGGGGGCGGGGCAAGAAGCTGACGCTGGCCTGCCCGGGTCCCCTGGCCGAGAGCTCAGTCACGCTGTCGCCCGTGGACTCGCTGGACTCCCCGCGGCCCTTCGGTGGGCCCCCCGCGTCCCCTGGCGGCTTCTCCCTTGAGGGGCCCTACGCAGCAGCCACCGCCACGGCCGTGTCCCTGGCTCAGATTGGTGGCGCGGGCCGGGCGGGTTTAGGGCGCCAGCCCCCCGGGGGCTGCGTGCTCAGCTTGGGTCTGCTGAACCCCGTGGCCGTTCCCCTCGACTGGGCCCGGCTGCCTCCACCTGCCCCGCCAGGGCCCTCGTTCCTGCTGCCGCTGGCGCCGGGACCCCAGCTGCTGAACCCTGGGACCCCCGTGTCCCCCCAGGAGCGGCCCCCGCCATACCTGGCGGCCCCGGGACACGCCGAGGAGTACCCGGCAGCCGGCGCCCACGGCAGCCCCCCCAAGGCCCGCTTCCTGAGGGTTCCGAGCGAGCACCCTTACCTGACCCCATCCCCCGAGTCCCCCGAGCACTGGGCCAGCCCCTCGCCTCCCTCCCTCTCGGACTGGTCAGACTCCACGCCCAGCCCAGCCACTGCCACCGGGCCCACGGCCACAGGCGCTGGGGCGCTGCCTGCCCAGCCGCTCCCCCTTTCCGTCCCAGGCCCCCTAGCTCAGGCCCAGACCCAGCTGGGGCCCCAACCGGAAGTCACCCCCAAGAGGCAGGTGTTGGCCTGAAGGCTCTTCAGTTCCTGGATTTGGGGGGGCTGAACAGATATCCCATCCTGACTCTCTCCCTTTCTTTTTAGACCTTTCCATTCTCTTCTCTCTTTCCCGGCCCTCCTGTAGCCCTCCCACCCCCCTTGAAGCTGACTGAGATAGGTCACCAGCCTAGGCTTTTTCAGTCCTCCTTTATTTATAGGGGGTGCGGGCTGACCCCCGCCCTCTGGGCCTTGTGATGAGCCTGGGACCTCCTCCTGCACTCCCCTTCCCCATTCTTCCTTCCCTCCTTCCCTTCCTGCCTCCTCTGGTCTCTCTCCTTACACTCTGACACGAGTGGATTATTATTATTTTTTTTTTTACATTTTGTATAGAAACAAATTCATTTAAGCAAACTTATTATTATTATTATTTTTTACAAAATATATATATGGAGACACTCCCTGCCCCTGCAAACCCCCCAGTGCCCCCGTGGGGCTGAGTCTGTGGGCCCATTCGGCCAAGCTGGATTCTGTGTACCGAGTACACAGGCATGACCGGGATCCTGTGTACCGAGTACACAACCCTGGTGTGTACCAAGTAGGCACCCTTGGGCGCACCCTCCGGGGCAGGGGTAGGGTGAGACTTGGGAGCCTCTTTCCTATCCCACCTCCCTCACTTCACTGCATTCCAGATGGAACTTGTTCGATAGCTTTGCCGGGGGGAAGGGCCCTTCTGGCCCAGAGAGCCCGCCCCGGGTCCCCCAAGCCTAGAGCCTGGGCCACTCTCTTGGTGAACTGGGTGGGGGAGGCTGGTGAGAACATGAGGAGGACCAGGGGAGATGTGTGCGTTTCACTTTGTTTCCCTGTAAATATGGGACTGCAGGAAGGGAAAGAGCCGCCTGGGTGGCACCCCTTCCTCCTGGCACTCCCCTGGCCCAGTCCCGGGGCAGAATGGAAGTATTTTTAGGCTGTTTTTGTAATGTGGCTTCTGGTCACAATCCCTGTGTAGCTAAATTCCCGGGCCTTGCATTGTACAGCCCCCACTCCCCTCACCACCTAATAAAGGAATAGTTAGCACTCCGTGTCACTGGTCTCTGTCTAGGTAAAGTGGGGGGTGGTACTGGTGGGCCTTCTGTTATCTCCACCGCCAGTGAGTGAGCTCCCGTCTTGGGTGGAACTTATTTAGCTTGTGAGCTTGCTCCGGCTTCCGCCTTTGGCAGATGACTCCACTGATTGGCTCAGAGGTGGTCACCTGACTCAAGGTGAGCCAATCAGAGTCCCTTGCCCCGGAAGTTCTTTAATGGAGATGCTAAGAAAGCCGCCAGTTGTTGGAACTTCTAAGGCCAAGGGCAGATGGAGAAATATGGGTGGCCAGTTTGGGGTGGTGAGTATAGATGAGCAAACAGAGCAGAAGAGTGGGGCTGATATGCAGGGTAAAGGTGAGATGAGTGCTCAGATGGCTCCAGAGAGTTGGAGGCAGTATCTCAGTTCCAGATGGAGCGTCAATTCCGGTTAATTGAGCATGCATCCCATTGACATCAACAGGTACTTATTCGTTGCCTCCTAAGTGCCCGATGCTGATTCTGCAGGGATCTCACCTCTACCTCATGCTCCCTTGGGTTCTGGAGACAATGCGGCATCGCGGAATATAGATTCTCCCTTACACATACCAGCTTGGATGGGTTTCCGTGTCTTGCAATCATCTGTGCCCCCAAACGAGGTTGTATTTACACCGGGACCCTCCAGGAAAGGAGGATGGGATAATGTTCATTGATTCCTCCTGTCATTTTGTCATTGTCCGGGTCCCTTCCCTGCCTCTCCGCGCGCGCTGACCTCCGTTCTTGGTTCTTGAGTTTGGCTGAGAAAGAGTTCAGAGCTAAATTCTCAAGCAAGAGTTTGATAGCAGTTAAAGAGAAAGTATACTCTCAAGAAGGGAGAGCGGGCAGGTTCAGAGGTGGCAACTGTGCCAGGGGTCAGGGTTGTCTGCTTTTATACTTGCATGGGTCATAGGTCATAGCTAGGGTGGTCTCTCTCTCTCTTTTTCTGGTTTCTGGAGTTTGGCTTTACTTTGCAGTATAAAATCATTTGGAGCCATTTTGAGACAGACATCCCTGAATTGGAGGTTCTGTCAAATCAATACTACATTGCAGCTTGGTCGGTTGAGGAAGACACACCTGGGATACAAAAGAAGCTTCTCCATTTACCTCCTTTATAATAGGTTTCTTTCCATTTTGTTGTCATCAATTTTATAAGGTTAAAACACGGCACACAGCTAGGGAGGTCTCTGCGGGGGCTCCCTCCCGTCATCTAAGGGACTCCTCCTACTCGTAGGGTGGGGGGGTTCGGGGGGCCCCCCATGATCCTTGCAGAACTGTCCTGGCGGCCCTCCCCTGCAGAGGGTGTCAAAACCGCAAGGTAAATGTATTATTAGGAAGCTAGAGGTTACTGGAGGGCAGCAGTTGTAGGGGAGAATGCATGCGTATCCCCTCCGCCCCCCACCAGGCTTTCTCTGCTGCGTGGAACTTGGTTTCGCCCTTTTGATCAGTTGGAAAGCATTTGTTCACCGCCCACATCTAGCTGACTGCTTACTCTATCCATTGGGAGTGCTCTTGGTTGCAAGTGACACAAAAGCCGACTCAACTGGCTTAAACAGAAAAGGAATTTATTAGTTCATATAGCTAAAGAGGCCCAGCTTCAGGGGAGATTTGATCTAGTGGCTCCAATGAGGTGAACAAGGGCTGAATTTCTCTTTATCTCTACAGACTTTTCTCTGGGCCTCAGTTTCACCCTCAGGTTCCACATAGGACCCAACCTAACGTCTCTTCCCACCCCACACAATTCTAACCCTCCTTGTGTGTTAGCAAAATAAGTGCAAAGAACATAGACCATGTTGCACTTTCCAGAGAATCAAGAAGCTTCTAGGTTGGTTTTTTTTTTTTTTTTTTAAGATTTTATTTATTTATTTGAGAGAGAGAGAGAGCAAGAGAACAACTGGGGGTGGGAGGGGCAGAGGGAGAGGGAGAAGCAATCTCCCTGCTGAGCAGGGAGCCCGACATGGGGCTCAATCCCAGGATCCCAGGATCATGACCTGAGCCGAAGGCAGACGCTTAACCAACTGAGCCACCCAGGTGCCCCGAGAAGCTTCTCGTTTTGAGGTTGATTTTGTTTTGGCCCCAATTGGATCATGTATCTATCCTCTGACTTAGGGTTTCTCAACATTGACAGTATTGACATTTGGGGCCAGATCATTCTTTGCTATGGGGGCTATCCGGTGCATTGTAAAATTTTAACAGCACCCCTGGCCTCCACCCACTAGATGCCAGCAGCACCCTCCCCTTCCATTGTGACAAAGGAAAATGTCTCCGACATGGCCAATTGTCCCCTGGGAGTTGGGGGTGTGGCTTTTGAGCACCACTGCACTAACCAGTTACTATGGCAATGGGATGTGGGATGTGCTGATTTCTTAAAGCAATCAGTCTCTGCTCCAAAACTGGAGCGGGGGTGGGGGGGTGGGGATGGGTGGTAAATTTAGGGACAACCAGGTTTGCAGAAGTAGGCATTCTGTGGAAGCAACTAATACATGTTTACTCTACCTCCCTCCCTTTGGCTAAATCTTTGAAGATTTGGAGATGAAAGACAATTTCTTTCATCGTTATCTTAAGTTTAGTTTATGTATGTTCATCTATCCTCTGCTTGCTTGTTGGGCACCTACTGCATGCCAAATTCTGGACTAGTTGTTGGGAGTAGAATGGTGAATTATATGGCCCACTCTCTGCTCTTAGGGAATTTCAGCCGAGTTAGGGGATGTATAGTGGGCATGCCAATATGTCCCTTTGGATCTTACCATTCCAGATGTTGACTGAGTTTCAGGACCCCTAAAACTCTCTACCTGGGAGCCTTCTCTTGTGTGGGGCAGGAATTGCCCTCAAGAATGTGGGGGTGGGGGGCGCCTGGGTGGCTCAGTCAGTTGAGCGTCTGCCTTTGGCTCAGGTCATGATCCCAGAGTCCTGGGATCGAGCCCCGCATTGGGCTCCCTGCTCAGCGGGAAGCCTGCTTCTCCCTCTCCCACTCCCCCTGCTTGTGTTCCTTCTCTCGCTGTCTCTCTCTCTTGTCAAGTGAACAAATAAAATTTTAAAAAAAAAAAAAAGAATGTGGGGTGGATGGGAGTTAATGGATAAATACCCCAGTTTCCTTGCTCCTCTGTGGGGGGAAATTCAGAGGTGTGTTCTATAGACTCAGAGGATGTCCATTGCGATTGAGTCCAATGGCCCACGGCAGCAACTAATTCTTCCTCACTGGGACTTTCTGGGATGTTCCTTTTTGGAATGTTCATACTGGATATTTCTGGAATAATTTTTCAAATAAATTCTTTGCACTTGAATCCTTGGCTCAAGAGAGGTCCGTCTTAGCTGTGTGTATGAGTTGACTCAGGGGGAGAAACAAAAATATCTGTTGGGGTGCAAGCAAGTTTGGGGATCCTTCTTCCTGAGTGCTCCTCAAAGGAGGAGAAAGTCTTTCTCTTCACCCACTTTGCTTACTTTATCATGCAACCCTGACTTTATATAAACAGGGCATTGGAGATGCTCGTCCCACAAGGGGGAGCCTACTTTCATGTCTGGTGGAGCCAACTTTTTGTAAGTACATGTGAGACTTCTCTGCTCTGGGGGCCCCCTGGAATGGTTGGGGGAGCGATATCAGGTGGGAGAACAGGAAGCCTGCTCACTGCCTCAATGAGTTGGTGAGATTCAAAGATTCATGTTCATGTGACTTTACTGGTATCCACCAAGTTCAGAGACATTTGGATTCATTATCCTAGTTGATTTCTTCTTCTTCTTCTTTCAAGGTTTACTTATTTATTTTAGGGAGAGAGAGAGAGAGAGAGAGCGTGCGTGTCTGTGTATGGGGGGGAGGGGCAGAGGGAGAGAGAGAGAATCTCAAGCAGACTCCTTGCTGGGCATGGAGCCTGATGCGAGACTTGATCCTATGGCCCTGAGATTGTGACCTGAGCTGACATTAAGAGTCGGACGCTTAACCAACTAAGCCTCCCAGGCACCCCTGTCCTAGCTGACTTCTTGACTGAAAAAACAGTGATAGAACAGCTGTGTGTCTGCTGTTTGCCCCTCCAGACCTATCCTCACCCTTCTCGACTCTGTTCTGTGCTTGGGAGGATGATTCAAGTAGGTGGCATCATTGGGCTCCTTTATCCTCTGGCTTCCACTTGGGTTTGGCCAATGAGATGGAAGTTTAGAGAACAGAATGTATTTCTGGTTTCTCTCCTGCAGGGTAGCTGTGGTGCTCTTCATCTAGCTGCCCTCTGTGAGTCTGGGTATTTATTCCCTCTCCCTCTCTTTGGCCCTTCT